TCAGTGTCACGTGATCATTCAGAAATCATTTTAATATGCTGATTTGTTGCTCAAGAAACATTTCTTATATTTCTAGGTGCTCCAAATGTTGAAAGCAGTTGTGCTGCTTAATATTTTTGTGGAATTCATTATACATTTACACAAAACTAGAATAAAACTAGTGACATTAGCAAGCCAGTAATCCTATATGTGTGTGTGTGTGTGTGTGTGTGTGTCTGTGTATGTATGTATGTATGTATGTATATATGTATATATATATATATATTGCACTCCTATATACAGTATATATATATATAAAACATAGAAAATTGGTTCACATGTCACAAACTTGCTTGTTTGTTAGTAAAAAAAAAAAAAAGAAGTTTTAAAATGCGAGGGCATGTTTACAATTCAACATTTTTTTTTTTAAACAATAATAATAAAAAAAAAAATAAACAGATTTACACAATGCTTAATTAATTTTCCTCACTGAAATAAAACACAATCTTTTCTTCCTCTTTTACATGGGTAACCAATATCAGATGCTACAAGGAACAATCTCAAATTAATTTTAGATGATTTTTTAGTTCAATAACTCAATAAATAAACAAACAAAATGATCTGTATTAGGTTCAGTGTTGTATAAAATTTAAATAAAATGCTCACTGACTAAAGATCTCTCTTAAAATGTTGTGAAGAATCTTTTAATTTTCTGGTCTCTTTTCATTGACCAACATCCACTTCCGACATGTGCAGGACTAAAGAAACAACCATTTTTAAATGTATAAAAATGAGTTGATCCACTGGCTTTTGCTGATTATTGATAGCATGCAAAAGATGCCAAATGTAATGCGAATTAACCACTGAAAAACCCATATTTTTTAATCTACATATTGGTTAGTTACAGACTTTGCTATAAGCACACATGCGACTCAGAAGGAAGGAAGACTAGAAGTAGATAACTGACATGAGGCGGCGTGAAGACATTCCAAGATAAGATCAGCAAGTGACTTATTACTGTGCAAGCCTGACCTGTCAGATCTCCTTATCTCCCCTAACACCTCACCAATCAAAGAGATTTTCATAAATCAATTTTGTTTTGCTCAACAAGGGGGGACATGGATGCGCTTGACCAATCAGATCAATACACTCTCCTGTTCTAATACACAACTAAGCCACCTAAGCACAAAAGGCAGCACAGGGTGACAACAGCCAATAGCAAAACATCCACATTTGAGTCCACTCGGAGGACACAGAACACTGTGCATCATGAAACTCATGTCTATAAAATCCTTTCAGGGATACTAGTCCAGGAGAGAACATGGGAAATAAGTATGCCTATAATGGCAGGGTCTACTACACAGGGTTAGGTGCTTTATCGTCGGCCATTCCATTCTTCTGCTCTATCCTCGCCAATCCTCCTGATGTGTATCCTAGCAACAGCTTTACCTCCCTGGCTTCCAGTTTGCTTTCAGCAGAGGTGAGGGTGAACACGTGCCACGCGGTCTTTACCTGCCTTTATTTTCCTCTAACACTCATCACTCACCTCTGACACCGCTTTCAGTCCTCCAACACTCTCGCTCTTATTCCTGTTCCTCTCATCACTCTCTTAAACATATGCTTTCTGTACAGAGGAGTTCCTCCTCCTATATTCATAAAACAGCATGCAAAAAGTTACCAACTACTTCTGACAAGATTCTGAAGTGTGCATCTAATGATAATGGATGCTTTATTATCCCATGAGGCCACGGGAGAGGACATGACAACACAATGAATGTAGTAGTTACTTTCCAATTATACACATTTATACTAGATGATACTTTTTTAATGGTTGCAAGGTAAGTATTCAAAAGAAGTACCTAATCTGAGATATCAGACGCAGCCACTGTCACTGTGTTCCGACTCACTTCCCTTGGACAGCACTGCCAACAGGTTTAAAATACGAAATATATTTTTACAGTACACGTTAAACTGGTGATGACAAGCTAAAATAGTAAACCTAATCGTCACATTCGCTTGATAACTGCAGATACCAGAAAAAGACTATCCGCAAAACACTGTATAAATAGAGCAACTCAACACACATGTTGGTAATGCATAACTAGAAGTGTCTCTATCTACAAAAGCAGTCCATTTAAAAAACAATTTACAGTTTTACAACTCATTACACACATTTAATTACTGAAGAATTGCTTTAATAAAAATATGAGTTGTGCATTTCTGCTAAAGCCCTCTGGTTTTCTTGTCTGCCAGGCTTACATTGTAAGTCCATTGCTGCAAACATTTCCTGTTCGTTTACACTGAGGTTTGAAAATAACCCAGATTATTCCTTTAACTGATGAAACCACATTAATGTCTTTTCATCGGCCCTACATATTCAGTCAGTTCCCTACAAACACTGTTCAAATCTCTTTTCATAGCTTTTAAAGGTCTTATGCATGTACTTCAAGATGTATTTGAAGATAATTAAGGCAAGTCCCAATGCGTCAGTGTTATTCAGTGACCCTACAGACAAGACTTCAGTATTCAGACTCTCCTTTCATATATTTTCCTTCTGAACACAAACACAGATTAGATCAATTATACATGATTCAAGACTGCTGGAATGGACCCAAACACACACAGACACACGATGCAGATTGCAGACTGGTTTTGCTGGGTTCAGTCCATAATAAAAGCTTAAACAGGGACGGCCAGTAGTGTGCAAAGCTCTGAAACCGTTATAACACAAGTCACGTCAAGAGCAGCACTTGTGTGTGTGTGTGTACTTCACTAAGTACATAAATCAGCAGCTGTTGAAGTCAGAAGTGTAAAACAGTAGGCACAGAAGCAAAGATGATGATGATGTCAATCTGGTGTGCTAATCCTTACAGCCACCTCTACGAGATCACAGCCTGTTTATTTTTAAACCTATTAAAATAAAGTTTCATTTCCATTCCTGTCTGTGATTACTGTCTGGAAACACGCAATTCAGCATCAGTCTCCAAGTGATGTTCATTGAAGTGTTGAAAACATTACAGCTTTTGTCCTCTGCTGCCATCATGTGTCTGAATACAGCTCTGCCAAAGTGTGGATCAAGAGACTTAAATTAATCACTCACTTATAGAGATTACAACACACTTACCAAAAGTTGGCAAAAAGATTAAACACAAAAAGAGATCAAGCACAGACTTCACGTCCTAATGTACATGGCTTAGGATCTTCTAAATGATGACACAATCCCTTAAATGTGAGACCAGCTTGGTATTAAGAACTTCATGGTTTCTCCTGAATCTTACAAAACCACACAGAGATTACAATACCCAATATAAGCTCATATCTTCATTGTATACATGAAAAATCCTGCCAGTATAAGCAAGATACTTAGATTTAGAGAGCATTTTCTAATTGATTTCAACATCATGATAACACAGTAACTTTGACCCATTGCTCACATTCCCATTACTTATAACACTTAAAAAGAATTTGTTTGTTCCATGAAATTCTAAGGGAAAAGAGAAGTCAAAGCAGATGCATTTTAATTTAGTACACTTGGTTTGCTTTATTGCCTATTTCTATGTTATATTTTTGTTTGCGTTTGTATTTTTGATTGCACTTTCTGGTAATTATAATAATTGTCCTCGGCAAAGAAGGAGCGCGTGTAATTTAATTGCTCCCTTCCTGCGTTTAAGTGCGAACTGTAGTTTCGATTTGAGGAATTGGCCTGCTATAGACTATTGGCTGTGCTAATTAGAAGGCGGCCACAGCTGTTTTCACTTTAGTCTTTTAGACTGTGTATTTACCTGATGTCTGTGCGCTGACGCGGAAGCATCAGCGGAAGCGTTCAGGCCTCCGACTGTAAAGACCAGCGACTGTAAAGACCAGCGACTGTAAAGACCTGCGACTGTAAAGACCTGCGACTGTAAAGACCTGCGACTTTACCTGCGTGACTTCACCGAGCAACAAAATCGCCTAGCCACTTAAGTATAATTTTTATCTTCCCTGTACACACTCTCCGTTTCTGTCCTCTCTTTTCCACCTCTATCATGTGTTTCCAACACATTCCGGTTGTCTCTCGACAACGCTCTAAGGTCACACGCAGACGGCAACGCAATGTTGCTAACCTGCACTTTATTTATTCCTTCTCTTTCTAGCTTGTACTTATTTGAACAATGTCTAGAAACTTGGTATTACAAGCACTTCCTGTATCTGTTTGCCTCTTTAAGAAGAATCGCTTTATGTATCCCCAAATTGTAAGTCGCTTTGGATAAAAGCGTCTGCAAAATGACTAAATGGAAATGTAAATGTAAACTGATTTCAATGCCATTTGACCAGCCTAGTACGGACAAACAATATGACCAAAATCTTGCATGGGGACAGTCAGATGGTTATGCTTTTGAAATAAGTCTTATGCGCAGCAAGGCTGCATTTATTTGATTTAAAAAAAATAAAAATAATACTGTGAATTTAATCTGTTTTCTATTTTAATATATTATAAAATGTAATATATTTCTGTGATGGCAAAGCTGAACTTCCAGCAGCCATTACTTTAATCGTCAGTGTCACATGATCCTTCATTCTAATATGCTGATTTGGGGCTGAAAATGGTTGAAAAAGCTTGTTCTGCTTTTGCTACATTTTTCATGATTCTTAGATAAATAGAAAGTTTAACAGCATTTGTTTTAAACAGATTTTTTGTGACATTATAAATGTCTTTACTGTCATTTGTGATGAATTTAATTCATCCTTCTGGGATAAAAGTATTAATTTCTTTAAAAAAAAAAAAAAACGTCTGACAAACGTTAAATAGTAGTATATGTGCAAATAACACCACAGTTCTGCCCACTAATACTCACATGGTATAGAAGAAACTCTAACAGCAGATTCATTGCTACTGCTGCATTTACTTAACGTTATAACGCCTAACCCTAGTGCCAAATTATGTCTTTTAATAAAACATTTCCAGAGAACTTATCTTGATCATGTTTTCATAACATTCAGACAAACAGTTTAAAACAATCATCTCCCACTTTCATACTCACCAGTCATGGGGTCAAACAGCTGGTTGGCCTCAAGGTCAGTGAATGTGCTCATGCAGCAGGGGCAGCGGAAGGAGGCTCTGTTAGTCGAGTCCCGTTCATCCGTCTCAATGCGTCTGCGCATGTGGTCCAGCTTGTACTTCACCACATTAACCAGCAGCCGGTAGTTAATGAAATAGTAATTGTGTCGTGTCGTCTTGCCGTCGGGCGCCGTCTCCACACGCATACGGCATTTGACAAACTTGTCAGCCTTGAGTGTGTTCAAAACTGAACGTAGCTGCTTGCGGTCGAACTTGAGCAGTTCCAGCATGTCCTCTTCACGTACGCAGGGGTTCCAGATCAGCACATCCAAAGCGAGAGCATGCTCGATGCCATAGAAACCTCGCACAACCTGTTTGGCCAGCCGTTTCAGAGAGGCAGGGACCTCTGTGAGCAGCTCTGGTTCAGTCATGATGAAGGGGAGGGAAAGAGTAGAACTAAACGAAGGAAGGATGGAGAAACAGAGCAAAAGCATGAGGTGGAAGTATTTTCAAGACCAAGCACGATAAGTTTAAGGAAGAACAGGAGTGGATTGTAACAAGAAGGATCAGCTCGCCTGGTATTCGAGAAGGTAATCAGGTGGATGACTTTGGGATTGTAGGACGGAGGTCTGTGAAGCATGAAAGAACAGAAAAGAGGTCGGTTACACATATGATCCAATAACTGTCTATATGTGCATCCAAATGTCATTGTCAACAGTTCTATTTTTTTTTAGACAAAAACATATTTTAACTTGCCCTGCTACAAATATGATAAATAGCTATTTTTAGCAAAATATTTTATTATATTTATTATAAAATATTTTACCAAAATCAAATTTTAGAAAAAAACAAACAAACTTCAAGACAGCTAGAATTTATTTTTTGTGCAATATATTACTGATTTATTAATTATATGCATTTTATTATTCAATAATAACTCCTTATATTTGACATTCCCAAGACTATCACAAGTCATTCTCACAATTTCATTCTATGATCAATCTATGTCAGGGGTGTCAAACTCAATTCCCGGAGAGGCGGAGCCCTGCAGATATTAGATTCAACCCTAATTAAACACACCTGATCCAATGAATCAAGTCCTTCAGGCTTATTTGAAAACTACAAGGTATGTGTGCTGATACAAAGCTCTGCAGAGCTCCAGCCCTCCAGGAATTGAGTTTGATAACCCTGATCTATGTTAACCAGCTAGACAATGTTACCTTAAAGACATTCAAATCAACACAATTCACAACAATAACGTTCAATTACAAATTGTTCAACAACAATAACGTTCAATTTATTACAGAAAGGCTGTCTGGAAGGTTTGTTGCTGGTCCAAGATGATCATCTGACCAACCATAAGGAAAGATAAGAACCATAAATGACCAGCTAGAAACCATTAAAAATGACCAGAAGCTGGTTTTAGCTGGGTTTTAATGTCACCAGCAGATATTCATGTTAACAGACAGCTTAACAAATATGAGGGGGGTCATTTTAGGAGTCATATGCTTACCCAGTTTCAATCACTTTAAATTAAGAAAGAAGAGAAACTTCTTAGTAATATTTATTCATACTTTTAAGTAACATTTATTTGTCATTGACTCCGGCTACAAATGCATAATTTATGAATTACATGAACCAAAACAATGTGACAGTAACGTTACTGCTCATTACCCAATGAAGCTTCATTTATCCCATTGGGGAGTTTAATATTAGACTCTCGAAATTGAGTATATTAAAAAGATAGTTAGATTAATACCGTCATCAAAATAAACAACATAAAAGCATGAACAATAGGAGAAGAAAAAAACAGCTCAAACCTTTAATTCTCCTCCTGTTTAGATCTGAACAAGTTTCCTAGTTCAGCATCACGCTAACGTTTAGAGGAAATGACGCATGAGATGTTGCTGAAAAGTCCAGAGACTTTTCGTTGGTACATTTAAGATAGCAATTAAATGTTCATATTTTTAGCTCAAAACTATAAACATTTAAATAATAATTATAATTATAACAACAACAACAACTATGTTTTAAGGGTCTATTTTGCTGTGTCTCAGTACCACTGTTGAATATACCGATCACCGGGATGTAAACCTTACACGTTTATATTTTTGACCCGACATTCTTTTGCAATGAATTCTTATGCGAGGTTATATTTGAAACGCTGTTGTCATAGGATGATGTGCAGCCGCTTCTGCTTTTGTGCTTCCTTGTTGTTTTCTACAGACTGCTTCCACGTGTTCTGAGTGATGCCAGTAAACAGCAAGAGAGAGCAAGGAGAAGATGTTGCTGTGACTCTGATAGTATTTATGTTCTGTTGGGTTTCGTTTAGACGGGATCAGCTCAGATCCGAGAACTTTAAAAAAGGTCAAATATGACAGTGAAAAATTATGCTATAACACTAACAAAAGGTGCCAATAGTATCACGTACCGTGGTAATACTAATATACTCTTTGGCCCATTGTAAGTACCATAGTACAATTGCATATAATTTTGGAAATCAAACCTTCTGATTCTGTCACCATAATATTGGTACTACTACTCTGCCTTTTAAAGAGCATAATAATATGAATAATTGAATGAGGCATTTATATATATATATATATATATA